GATGGGGGGGAAGAGGATGATGACTGCTTCGAGGGCCGGAGCGATTCCGGTAATGGTTATAATCACGCCGGTAGCAGCGTCACCTTAGAAATCGAGACCGATCGGCGCGCCTAGCCTTGACCGTAATTCCGGCTCGCTGAAAAAGAATATATTTATGTAATTCAGCGTCGTGAGCAGCCGCCGCCGCGGATTCTTGTAATTAAGAGGCGGCATCGTCTCGCACCGCCGGAGAAAGGATTTCACTGTGATAAAAGACCGCGGAGGGACCGCGGCCGGAGGCTGGCCCGCCCGTCGGTTTTAGTGCGCCGCGCGGCCTGGTCTCACGGCCTGCAGAAACGGGGACCCCCCCCCCCTCCGTCCCTCGGCCATCGACAATGCGACGAATAATTGATTCGCAGTTTCGCTGGTGCGACGGCCGGTCGACGCGCTCCCTGGCGCACCGTTGGGGGAGCATAATTTAATCACTTATGGATAATCGACGGTGTTAACATGGTCCGCGGGTACAAGACGAGAAAACAGCTTTCACCCGTCGTTACGGTTAACCTTCTTCTTTTACGCGATGCATCTCTCTATTGATATGATTAATCGGCTAGCAGCTTTCTTTTTTATGCACGACATGGAACCGTTATTAACCTGCCCGCCGGTTAAGTAAAAAAAAAAGACAATCCGCCGCGTACGAGTCCGCGCGCCGTTTTAAACCCTTTGCGTTCGGCTGGTGTGACTCCGAGGCACCAAATTTGTTGCGTCGTGTACCAAGATGATTTTTATATCGACGAAGTTTAGATTTTTAAAACATCGTTGAAAGAGCAACAACTGTCGTGTAAGTTACAAGACTCAATTTCGTACGCATAAAATGCACTTTGTTGTATAAAATAAAAAATAATGCTATATAAGTCAAAAAGATATTATTTTGAATTTACAGTTAAAACAGCTTCGAGTGCAAAGGGTTAATTCGACGCACGGCGACCGCGGTTCTTGTTCCGCAGCCGACCGGAAGCTGGTTCACAGGGGCCTAGAAATCGGTTAGGCGAATTGTAAATAAGCGGGGAACGTAAGAAAATTGCCGGTTAATCCACCGGGACGAGGATCTTGTACAAACGGCTCGTGAAATCGCCGGTGAAACATGTCGCGGCCTTATTTGTTTCTTTTGCTCGCCGCGCGGCCAGGCCAGAAAAACGGCAGAAAAACGCGGGAAAACGTGCTCCGCTGCTGGACGAGACGCCGATCGCTTTTACAGTCTCTGCGAGGTCGAACGACCTTGAAGGACCAAGCGAATACCGCCGACGACCGCTTTCGAGATATGTATTCTGCTCGGAGAATTCTCTGACGGGATCGTCGTCGTTATTTTAGACGTTTCGTCGTTTACAATGATCCTTGTATCACAACGTGATTTCCACGAGAAATTTTCTAGGCGAACATTGCTTTTATTCCAGCACGTAGTATCGCAGGTAACGTTAACCCATTGACTGCCACGCAAATTTAGCGCGTCTTGCCCTGGGTGCCACGGTTTTATTTTAAAGAAAACGTGAAGTTTTACAAAATATAATAATATTAAGTTACTGATATAATATTACGATGGCATTTACAGTACTTTTTTTATTGATAATCAATAAAACTCTACGCTATTCTCTATAGTTCTCTACGCTATGTATATTTATATATTTATGTATATTTTTATTATATATATATTTTATTTTATGTATTATGTATATTTTTCATTCCTTCTTTCAAATAACCATGTGTAGCCAGTCTAAACTTGCAGCACCCGCTACGAGATATCTCGTAGTTGGCAGTCAACGGGTTAAAGTGTGCTCGCGAGTCAACCTGATCGCGAATCGGCTCCGCGAGCAGCACCGGCCGCGCCGTTTGTCGTGGAAAAGGTGGTCGCCCTAGCGAAGAGGAAAAACGAAGAGAACGCGCATGTAATAACCGTAACGAACAATATAACCGTATTCGACTTTTCCGCACGAAAGCGAGTCCGCGAAGATCGCCGGCGAGACCGGAGCTGCATTTTCGTCGTGGCCGTTGGCTCGCCGGACGCTCGTTCATGCCAGAAATCGGTACATTTTCCTCGGACCGTGGCCGGCCGATGAATTTCTCTATATCCCTCTCTTTCACTGGCACAATTAACCTGGATTCATAAACATCGAAGAAACTTCGCGTCTTGGACGCTGATTCCGAGCCATGAAAAACACGAACATGCTTGCGAATGCGCGGCTTCGTTAGCATTTACAACAATAGTTACTACCTCTGGTTCGTAACTCGGAAGTGGAACGATTCGGCGAACAACGTACACACGTCAGAGCAGCTGAATGGGGGATAACGTTAAGATTCCGATTTCGGTTCGGACTTGTCTCACGTAATACCGGATCGAATTCTAAAGACGAACTTGCGAAGCCAGTTTCCCGGCGAGCCTCTCGAACGATTTAACCCCTTAACGTGCACGCTCGAGTTAACTCGAGCGCGCTAAACTGGCCAAACTGTGCACACTCGAGATAATTCGACTGTTTTCTGCAATGTTATCAAAATCCAAAATTGCAATAAAAATTTCGATTATTTTTGTATTTTTGTTATTTTCTTGCCAAGACAACGTTCTAAAATGTGTTTTTTTACATTAAAAAAAATTGATTTTTTTTGGCCGGCCTTTTTAAAACAAACTGTGCATTTTAAGGGGTTAATACCACCGGGAAGCCGGCGTTATTCCGGGGAGGATTGGTTTCCGATCGCGGCCGAAAAAGTCCGGCATTCGCATGGAAACCGGCTCGCAGGTTTTTTTTCCCGTCCGAACGTTCTGTCCGCGAGGCGCATTAATGGAATTACAGGACAACACACACGCAGCCAAGAGTAACGTTATCCCCGAGATACCTGGCTGGCTTTATCGTCGCGATGCGTGACGAACGTTCGTTTACGTGCGTTCCGTAAAGGAGCCTCTCGAGTAGTCCCTCTTCTTCCTGCGTTCCCTGTTCAGTGTCGTCCACCGACACCGGGAACCCGCCGTTGTGCCCGCCGCCAACAATGGAAAAATTGCGCCGGCCCCGCGGCCGGGTCTCGCCGGACCCGGCGAAACGATCCCCCAACTGGCGTGAACCGTGTTGCGCTTCTCGCCACCATTAACGCAGATCGCGATTATTTTCGTGACTCGGCGTGATTCAGTCGTTAAATCGTTAATCGCGGAACGCAGCCGCGAACCAACTTTCCAAGTTGTACAGAGAGGCGGTTTTTTCGACGGCCGGCGTTACCCGTGACCAAACGTCCGGTGACTCTTTTTCCTCTTAATTTGCTTCTTTCGCCGTTGACCGGCCCCCGCTCGTGAATATTCGAAACATCGTTCGTTCGAAACCGTTCCATGTTGCGCCATTCCGTTGCAGGAACAACGCGAACCGCTTCTGGAAATCAAACAAATTTGTATCGCGTGTCGTTGTCGGGCCCCACCCCCCACCTCGCGGTACTCGTTCGAGAATATTCCCGACGCGATTCCCGGCGTATTTCGCCGATCGCGAAGAATAAAAACAACGAAATTCTACGCGTAATAAATTGGTCAGAATCCGCACGAAGAAGTTAACAACTCGTACTTGAGCCAACTCGAGCGTGCACCCGTGCACGCTTCGTTTCGCTAAAATAATAACGAAGATCTTTCGAGCCCCGTCACGGCGTAACCAGGAATTCCGTGCTCCCCTTTCCCTGTAGTTTTACCGAAAATTATGAAAATTCCTCCGGTCTTGTAACATCGGAGAAACTTCGTAGACACTGTTTATCGAAGTAGAAGTAGTTTCTATATAAACTTACCTTTTCACTCGCGATCGATATCATAACCTTTATTAATATCATAAACTTTTGAAGTTCGATTAATTAATATCTTAATCATAGATATTTTAATCTTAATATCTCGATCATTTGCGGCATTATCATCTGTTCTCTTCGTACACTTCATACCGTATCGATGCAGTAAATTCTCCTGAACAGTTCTGTGCCCTTGGTTAACTTTCTTTTGCCGTATTTATGCCGTAATTAAGGCTCTTCGGCTGGCCTTATTCGGCGTTTAATGGACCAACGAACACTATCACCGCATAGCTGTAGCCGCCGGAACTAAATCAGTCGTATCGGGAAAATATCTTTAAAGGATATAGGATGATTTCTAGAAGTTTGAGGATTAAAATAATATCTTGCAAATACAACGGTGTTAGAAAAATAAGACCATTTATTCTTGCCAGTACAGAGAAAATTTAACATTTGTCACGCCTGCAAATAATTCTTGCCGAAAATACATACATGGAAAATGACATGAAACTTGTCAACTGAGAGATTAAAAACCAATTTGTAGCGGCAGGAATGCTCGGAAAATTCTCCTGCATTGATTTCATGGAAAAAAGTTTACGGTTACAAATACGTATACAAACAGATCATTCTAATCGGATTTTTGGTATCCGATATAACAAATATATCTTAAATATTAAAAATAGCGCCGTTCGTGACAAGTGGCGCCGTTCGTGGTGAAAACGGGTAGCTTCGTATGGGGTCCGTACAGCGCCAAATCACGCAGTGACAAAACTCTCAAACTGTTCGCCATATGACCGACATATGGTAATCATAGTGCAATAGATATTGCATTTTACAATTTTATCATCGCGAGATAAAGCAGCGCACTGCTATGATCCTTCCTCTTCCGAATGACTCAGATACCATCGACAAATATTTTTATATTTTATATAAGATTTTAAGTATTTTACAAATACTTGAGAAGCAATTCAGTATAGTCTTGCTGCGTCAGAATTTATGATATCGGTAATGTAGAACAAAAAATGTGACTAGATTGGTTAGATTGGTGCTTATGAGATGGCGCCTAAGTAGGAGGACCGTCGATGTGGAATCTAAGCAGATGCAAGCTTGGATTTTGGTAATGTCGGGTACTTATTCGTTCATCCGCAATATGTGTTTGTATATGTCTGTATATGTTCTTTAATATCTTTTTTAATATCTCTGTGCTCTTCTTTATGTTCCAGGGCTCTAACGCAGCTCCCTCACCCCAACAAGTAATGCGTGAACATTCAGAGTACTATCTTCTTTTTTACTACGTAGGAATTATAATTGAACGGGTACAGTGACCAAGACATCGCCTGCAATCCTCATTTTTTTCCTGTTGGCCAAAGACACACAGCAATCACTGCGTATATCTTATTATGTATTAGTTAAGTAAGTTGTCGTTGTAAAATGATTGTAAAATGACATAAGAACTGTAATGTGTGGAAATAAAAGTACTATAAAACTCGATCCAAACGTCTTTTTATTTATACGTTTTCCTAAACCTACGCATTCCCTTCCCTATCATGCCAGCGAAAAAGTTTTAACGTCTGACTTTCCATTGATGTACACTACTTGCAAGTTGTATCAGGAGAACATGCAAGTAGGTATCTCGAATTCCTTTGTCTGGCTTGTGATTGACTTGTACTACTGAAATTTCGGAAAATCTCGAGTATCAGGAGAACATGATAATCTTCGAGGAGTGTATCCCGAAATTCTTTGGGTGGCTTGACGTTGAGTTGTACTACTTGCGAGGAAATTTTTCGAAAATGTCTGCCGAAATTTCAAATTTTGTATCAGGAGAACATGATGTGTGAGGAGGTATTCTAAACACGATGTCTGACTTGACGTTGAGTTGTACTACTTGCGAGGAAATTTTTCGAAAATATTTGCCGAAATTTCAATTTTTGTATCAGGAGAACATGATACGCGAGGAGGTATTCTAAACACGATGCCTGGCTTGACGTTGAGTTGTACTACTTGCGAGGAAATTTTTCGAAAATGTCTGCTGAAATTTCGAATTTTGTATCAGGAGAACATGATACGCGAGGAGGTATTCTAAACACGATGCCTGGCTTGACGTTGAGTTGTACTACTTGCGAGGAAATTTTTCGAAAATGTCTGCTGAAATTTCGAATTTTGTATCAGGAGAACATGATACGCGAGGAGGTATTCTAAACACAATGCCTGGCTTGACGTTGAGTTGTACTACTTGCGAGGAAATTTTTTGAAAATGTCTGCCAAAATATCGAATTTTGTATCAGGAGAACATGATACGCGAGGAGGTATTCTAAACACGATGCCTGGCTTGACGTTGAGTTGTACTACTTGCGAGGAAATTTTTCGAAAATGTCTGCTGAAATTTCGAATTTTGTATCAGGAGAACATGATACGCGAGGAGGTATTCTAAACACGATGCCTGGCTTGACGTTGAGTTGTACTACTTGCGAGGAAATTTTTCGAAAATGTCTGCTGAAATTTCGAATTTTGTATCAGGAGAACATGATATGCAAGGAGGTATTTCAAACACGATGTCTGGCTTGACGTTGAGTCGTACTACTTACGCGGAAATTTCTTGAAAATGTCTGCCGAAATTTCGAATTTTATATCAGGAGAACATGATACGCGAGGAGGTATCTCGTTTTGTCAAAATTTCAGTAGTACAAGTCAATCACAAGCCAGACAAAGGATTTCGGAATACCTCCTCGAAGATTATCATGCTCTCCTGATACTCGATATCTTCCGAAACTTCAGTAGTACAGTAGTAGTGTGGCGGCTACTTCCAAAACTCGCCAGCAGATGGATACCTTATCCGCAACTACCTAATCCTATGTAAAAGACGTGGAAGGTTGAGAAGAGAATGGAGGAATGGGAGAGTGGAAGGTAAAGAGGGGGAAATAGTAGGCGAAACAATATTTTTTATTCTTTTTAGAAATTCTAGCTTTGTTTGAAACATTATTTTGTATATTTATATACGTATATTATGTACAAGAATATGAAAATAATTAGTTATGACCTATGAGACAAAACGCTCAAACTGTTCGCCGAATGACCAACAATCGAATTTGGCTAACAGTTTGAGCGTTTCGCCACTGCACCAATCGGCGCTGTACGAACATCGAGCGGAGTTTCTCCAACTGTTTCTCCAATAGAGGCGCCACATATGCAGAATGCAGGGTCGAGCCCCGAATGTCAAAGACACAACGACAGACTAACGGCATACAACGTCACACGGTTGATAACACGGTTTCCAATACATACAGACATATAAAATAACATGTACAATATGTTATATCGCCAAAGTTTGTAAACCTTGTAAATTTATTAACGTTGTAAAGCTCACAAGATGCAACGTCTGCACGGATCCTGAGTCTACGATTGAATTTTTACGTCGATATGACAGTCACGACGTGTCACAGAAGTTCATAAGATGATTTGTCTATTCTGTACCTCGTCTGCGCCTTTGCTTCGCCGAACTCCTGGATTTTCTATACACGGACTGTACACGTGCCGTGACTAGTATAGTACGTATAGTCTATGGTCGATGCTCTGAAAGTGTCACCGTTAGATGTCACTTACTTACGTTTTACCGCATAATTTGTTGTTCAATTAAATGTCAACTATTTCCCAACTTCTGCATAATTGTAGGGTTCGATGTCGTAGCGTAGAAACGTAATAAATCGCTTGCCAATCGTGACGCTTGTGTTCGATTCTAACTTCTCCAAATATTTAAAGTTTTATCCACGAGTACACCACCGATCTATATACCATAGAATATCGAATCATAGATAGGAATGCCGATTTCAATGGTGACTCTTGAACGGAAGAAGTAGGGCAGACGATTTTCGGTGAACAGTGGCGTGTCTGTCGTGGTGGAAACCTTTATGCATTCAAGAGAAACGATCCTTACCGGCCTTCGACTTCCTCTTCCCGTAACTGGATATAATGGCGTCCGGAGTAAGTCTTTCTCGTGGGGTTCGCACCGTGAAACATCGACGTCACGCTAAACCGACGAGAACATACGTTTCATAAAACAGACGGCCGAATCGAAAATGAAGTTAATGGAGTTACTATTTATTTCAGACTCTGTACACCTACCCAGAAAACTTCAGAGCCTACAAGGTACTGATCGCGGCTCAGTACTCCGGCGCTCAGGTCAAGATTGCAGATGACTTCGTTTTCGGTGAAACGAATAAATCCGAAGCCTTCTTGAAGAAATTCCCCCTGGGAAAGGTACGTTTCTTCATCGGTCGTAACACAGTCTCATTGTTTCTGCATGCATGTAACAATGTTCAAAAACCAGCTGGTATTAGCATTACAAATAAATTAACAAATAAAACTGAATTTTCTTAACGATTTTGGCGTTCCATTTGTCAGGTACCAGCGTTCGAAACAAACGATGGAAAATGTATCACAGAGAGCAATGCGATTGCTTATTATGGTAAAAAAGTCACAAATCAATATATTGTACTTGTCACAGAACGAGGGGATATCTAAATTAGATGTTATATTTTTTAGTGGCTAACAACCAGTTGAGGGGCAAGGACGATCTCGAACGTGCAGAAATCATTCAATGGTTTGGATTCGCGGATTCTGAGATTCTTCCAGCTAGTTGTGCATGGGTTTTCCCATTGCTTGGTATTATGCCTTACAATAAACAGGTAATGCATTAAATGTATTTAACGTTTTATCTTTCTTATTATTCCTCCTTCAAAGGCAAAACTAGTTCGATAACATAACTAATTTTGTAACTCAAGGAAGGTAAAGAAATGTTAGCATGTATTGAAGTCGTATATGGATTATGTCATATATGATTGTTTGAGATGCTTACAGATTCAAATTTAAGCCTGTAATTTACTTCGTTTTGTCGGGATTACGATTGTTCGATAATGCATATTCAATCTGAATTTCAGACTGTGGAACACGCCAAGGAAGACATAAAGAAAGCAATGACTGCCCTTAATTCTCATTTACTTACACGTACTTACTTGGTAGGAGAACGCTTGACTCTGGCTGACATTAGCGTAGCCATGACACTACTTCATTTATACCAGTATATATATGAACCCAACTTGCGTAAACCATACCAGAATGTAAATCGATGGTTCCAAACTGTAATTTACCAACCTGAATCTATGGCTGTAATTGGTGCCTTTAAATTGGCTGAGAAAACACTTGAATACAATCCAAAGAAGTTTGTAGAAACCCAAAGAAAAGTTAGTCACTATTGTTTTGTTTTCCTGAAAATAGCTATTTGTGTTAGCTATAGTTTTCACAAAGCAATTACTTGCCTTATTTTATAGACTTCTAAGAAGGAGAAAAAGGAGAAGGAATCCAAAAAGGAACCGAAAGAAGCTAAGGTAGCAGCCAAGAAGGAACCGGTAGAGGAATTAGATCCTACAGATGCTGCTTTGGCTGCTGAACCCAAGTCGACAAATCCTTTTGATACTTTGCCTAAAGGCACCTTTGATCTTGACGATTTCAAGAGATTTTATTCCAACGAAGACGAGGCAAAATCCATACCATACTTCTGGGAGAAGTTTGACCCAGAACACTACAGCATCTGGCTTGGTGAATATAAATTCAATAACGAATTAACAAAGGTACGGTAAAATATTTGGTGATAAATGGAATATTTAATATTTCGCGTTTATTTTAATTGATCTGTTTGTTTTCTGTAGGTTTTCATGTCTTGCAATTTAATCAGTGGTATGTATCAACGATTAGACAAAATGCGTAAGGCTGCATTCGCTAGCGCATGTTTATTCGGCACGGACAATAACAGTAGTATCAGTGGTATTTGGGTTTGGCGCGGACAAGAGCTCGCTTTTACGGTGAGTCTTGTGTTTCAGTGATGTTTTTTTATTCGTTTCTCGTCGCTATATATAGAAATACAATGCGACTAATCGTTTTGTTTTATACAGCTGTGTCCAGACTGGCAAGTAGATTATGAGTCATACAGTTGGACCAAGTTAGAGCCGAGTAAAGACGAAACAAAACAGTTGGTTCAACAATACTTCAGCTGGACTGGTACCGATAAAATGGGGCGTGAATTTAACCAGGGAAAAATTTTCAAGTAAACCTTTGCCCTATGCTTGCTATTAAACGGAACATTTTGTTCGCATGAAATAAACGTAAAAAAAATTGATCTAAGTACCATCGAACTTTACACAAAGAACCTTTAGAATCCTGTATCTAATAAGGTGTTTTTTTCTTTTTTCAAGAGAAAGAATGTTTTTTTCCGTAGGTCTGTATTGTTTGACACGACGCTTCTTTCAGTTGATATATTTTTCTGTAACCGTACTGTTCCTCAAGAGTGATATTTACACTTTATTTTATTACCGAATTAATCGTTACATTACACGAACGTAAAACGGGATCGCAACTTTGAAAAAATCGACTAAAAATAGAGTGATATTAACTTTGGTATGCGCATTTCTAGAAATTCGAATGTGTGTTAAATTATTTATTTTATAAATTGTTTAAAATTATGTCGTAACTATAGAAATACAATTGATTCGATAGACTTAAGAATCTTTATGCATTTGTTACTGGTTGGTTAATTAAAAAAAAAAAGACAAAACCACATAAATATTTCAATTTGTAATTAAATATTAAGAAATATGAGATTATCATTGTTGTGTTGCTACATCATATCAAAATTCATTCTCCATACAATCTTGTGTGAAATTTCATTTTAAATATAACGCATATTTTTACAAAACTAAAGTTGTTGAATATTTAAATGATTCAAATAAAATTTATACATTCGTAAAGCTCTGTATGTTACCACTTAAATATTGTTCATGGATATAAATTTGCACAATTCGCTATCATTTTATTTTTCTTCTGTGTAACAAATATTAATTACAACTATGAAATGTGTCGTTTTATTTGTACATATACGAATAGCTTAATCTTAATTCACAAGAGTAATTATATTAGAATCCTTTGGAATCCAGCCACCTTTTTATAAGGGCCACATAATCACCTCTAAATTTAATTATACCTGTTAATTCGTTTATACAAATACCAACATTTTTGCCAGTTGCATTTTGTAAATAGGTTTTTAATTCAGCTTCCAAGAGCCAAATATCACCCTGAATTTTTTTAAGTATCGTTATCCTTCGCTCTCCTCTGAAGCCAATTTTAAGATAGACAGGCTGCATACAATTTTTTGTGCGTGGTACATAATATGGGTGATCCGTTGGTTCGGCTGTTGAATTTTTATAGATAACATTTCAATTAAGAGGCAATATATTAAACATTTGATTCTTTAATGTAACATAGACCTACCAGTAGGTGGATTCCAGTCAGATGCGTATTCTTTTTTCTCAAATGAAGGCAGGGGCACGAGCTTAGGTTTAAGTAAACATTCTACATACTCCCATTCTTTTGGATCCCTAGTCACCTCATAATCCGTGAACTTTGAGGGATCTTCGTACACAGGGGAACTTCTGTACGTGCTCCATCTCTTTTGGATCTAGCAGTGAACACATTGATTATTCCCGTGTTATTATTACATAAATTCCTGTACACGCGTCTTTTAGGTTAACACGTGCAATCATGTGAAATGTCTTTAATAGAACCGTTTATTCGGTTAGAAAATTCGCAATCTTAATTGCACTGAAACAAGCGCCAATGTTTTCTCGATCTACGTTAAAATAATATGGCGTACAGTTTCCGTAGTATTGTTGGAAGTTCAACAATTCGATTTACGAAGCTTCCTTTAAGGTTGTCTTTAAAAGTTTCATTGAAAACGTTTACGTTGTAAAAATGAGTAATCAACGCGTGTGATGACTCGTTTGAAGAGGACAGCACACAAGCATCGCAATTACGGTGTGATCAAATGAAAAATTAATGGCTTAAACGTTCCGCGTAGCCTAGCCTAGCACGGCCCTTCGCTAGGTCGCCCGAAGGTATCTATTATGAAAACGCAACGGAGCTTGCTTATCGAGCACAAATAACGAGAGGCGACAGCAGAAAAACCGAAAAAATAGGGAGAACGGTATTATTACCTGAGCCGTGATCGGCGTGACATTGTTTAACGGTTCAAATTGTCGAGAGGATCGTAGAATAATCACGGAGAGTTTGGAACGTGCGAGGAGTCGAAGGGCGGCCATTTTGACTTCGGTAAATAAGGGTCGGTGGCCGCCATTGGTGCGCACGGGCGCGTCTTCCTTCTCGTTCTCGTGCCAGATCGAGGATTTCCGCGCGACGAGCTTGTATTCCCAGCATTTTCACTGTCTTGCGGGAAACTTGGTCGCGGTCGGTGGCTCGCCCGATTGACGAACGCGTCGTCCAGCGGTCCTGAGTAACGTGAAAACCAACCGAACGGCTAACGGGCCTCCAGTTATCGCGAACACTGTATACCTCGAGGTAGCAAGTGCCGCGTTGCTCCGAATTTTCTCGGAAGATCACCGCGCTGAAACGTGGCTCGGCCGGACCGTTTTTGGGCTGGCGACCTTGCACGAGCCTCCAGGAAGCTGTTTCCGCCGGGAACACCAGCCCCTGCGAGCTCCGAAGGGGTGAGATTCTCGGTGAGAATAACAAGAGAGGGAATTACCGCGAACGAACTATGGACCTGGGAGAGGTCGCGTGTTCCACCGTCAGGTGGCGGTAGCCTGAAAACAGTGGGACAGCGTATAAGAGACAGACACCCTGCAACGGGACTGTGTGTTTTTCACGGGATTGTTTTCCGCGTTTTCCCGCAAGCACCGTGCTCCCCGACGGTGATTTCTCGGCCGAGAGGTGAGTACACAAGGTCGACCGAATCACCGGACCCAAAATCGGCCCGAGAACGGCCGGCCGTGGCCCCACTAAACCTCGGAAATCTCGAATCGGGTCCGACCTTTTGTTTATTCGTGGCGATTTTTTCGCGACGATTCGTCCCGTGATTTTCGACGGTTCTCGCCCGTTCACCCCCGGATTTCCTCTCTCGGCAGTTAACCCGCGTTCTAAGCTTTCTTGTGAGCAACGATTTACCGTGATCCCAGCCACGATCGTCGAGATATCGCGATTAATATTTCGAAGCGATTCCCCCGACCTGAGAGAGAAGAGAGGCGCTCGCCGTGTGTATCCGTGTAAATGCAAAGTTTGTCACGTAATTTTTCTGACCGCCAGGGCCGCATCTATCAACCCCACTATTCCGGCCGGCCGATCGCCTACTCGCACCCAAAGACGAATAATGTAGTTTCTCTGCTTGGCGTTTGTTCTCGATTTCTTCCTGTCTCGCTTATAAGAGGAAAGGTATTATTTTTATTCGATTATTATTTTTCGTTTCGCCACGCATACGTGTCCCTCCGATTATTACTTCAGTTTCATTAGTTTATTATGTGTCTCTGTGAAGACAAACATTATAACATGTTTTTAAGAGAAGTACATGGTATTTCAAATTATTCGACTAGTATCCGAACATTTTGTTCATGAGAAAATTATTAAACTTACTTTTTTACTTATTAAACTTACTTACTATATATAACGATATTTTTCCTTCGACTGATAATCGGCTAGCATGTTATAAATGAAATTGCAGGAGCCCGATGTGGGTGGAAGTGAGATGGCATCCAGGGAAAAGAAACCCTTAGCGCCTTCCAAAGCAAAACAGAAGGCGAACAATGAAAGTGGTTTGTCGTCAAATGAAATTAAAAGCAGAAAGGGTAAGACATTGTCGAATCTGAAGCAACAGCAACTAGCACGCGATATCTTGGAGGCTGTGGCTACGGGTAGTCAGCTTCCTCCGAAATTAGAGGCGAGCCTGCCACGCAAGAAGGTCCTAAGGAATCTAAAGCGTAAGCAGAAGTTGAGAGTAGCGAAAGCGAATCTCATCAAGTCCAAAGTTCCGAGGAAGGTGGCAAACAGAAATTTATGCAGACTAACATCCGACGTCAAGAAAAGCGTGAGAACGAAAAGAGTGAAACTGTCAGAAGAGAGCGGTGCTAAGACGTTTGATAATAATTCAAAGGTTTTAGAACAGCAAATAAACGATATAGATATCGAAGGTACAGGGACGGAACCGATTAATAGAAGTGCCAAGAATAATCTCAGGACCAAAAAGACCAAATTTGTAACAAAAAGTAGTGAAGAAATAGAAAACGAGGATACTCAAGATAAAGACACAGATTCCATTGCTGGATCCAGCAGCAAGAATAGTCCGAAATTGAACAGAAAGGGAAAAGGTTTGGAAAGTCCAGATCCTTTGACAAAAAGCGTTAAATCGTCGAAATTCCCTGGATTCAAAAGAAACACTATCAGAGATAAGGACAGTTGCTCCAAGAACACAGAAGGAGATATCAAAAGTACGAAAGGAAGGAAGAGTAACAGTAAAGATACGGATTGTGGAAAGGTATCCAACGTTGACACAAAATATTCGAAATCACTTCTGGAGGCTAAAAGTTCCATAGATCTTACCATCGACGAGGTAATAGCTTCGATGTTGAGCGATTCGGAAATAGATAGTCAACAAGGAGTAACAGAGAAAATCGAAGGAAAAGTAACAAGAAGTCGGAAAATGCTGGTAGAGGACAACATAGTTTCCGACATTGAAATTAAGAAAGAACCGGACAGGGAAGAGGCCAAAAGTATATCAGATGGAGAAAATTTAGGTACAGATACTTTTCAAAATGCGATTCAATTGCGGAAACGGTCGAACACGTTGATAGGTCAAAGGAGTTTAAGGAATGGTAAACTACGGCAATCGGACTCCGGTTTATCCTCCGATCTGGATCAAAAGAGACGTCGTAGATTAAACTCGGATGATCCTGGTAATTCCGAAGTTATGGTAGATAACATTACGGATAGCAATTTAGACACAGAGTCTTGCTTTTCAGAGTCTAGCGGCAGCGATCCTCAAACGATTCTCCCGACAGCCAAAGATGAGGCCTCTTTGAAGCAGGAACTGCTGAAGAATTGCGACGACAGTTCCCAGAACGGATCGGAAACAGAGAACAATAATAACAGTGATCGAGTAGATAGAGTTAGTGAGATAGGACCCACTCTCCGCTCAAAAACTAAAGCCAAAAGTACAGAGGTCGATGTGAAAAATGACAATATTAAAGCAGATTATACGAGAATAGCACCTAAGAGTACAGAAGCGCAGGAAGACGTAAAGAAAGTAAGCAATTTAGATCATGTTAGGAAGGATAATATTTTAGCAAAGTTCGCGGACAAGTCCAAAAGCCGACGGAGTAGTTTAAACATAGATATGAAGAAGACGGTTAACTCTTTTTATAGTACAGAGAAATCCGACGGGAATCCGAAATCCCAGATCGATCAAATGATAGAGAACATCAAGCTGACTATCGCCAAGTCGATTGAGAACAAGATATTCGGACCGGAGAAGGGTCTTGGATTGAGCAAGAATTTTGAGGTACCAAAAATCGAAGAAATCGTTGCCCCGTTGAGCGCGGAGTCCCAGAAGCTGGGGCTCGAGGAGAATACGGATGAAGACAAATCAGCTAATACGAAAAACGAGATGAAATCAGACAACTCCGAAACAAATTCGGTACCAAAAGTGGCTGATACTGCCAAAGAAATTGAGAAACTAGTCATGGGTGATATTGAGCCGGCAGAAACTCATTCACAAAACATCCAAGAAAGCGAGTCCCACGAGACCGACGAGAACAACAGCATGCACAATAACAACATCAACAACAACGCTTCCGAGTCTGTACAAGTCACGGAGAACAGTACCGAGAATAGTTGCAAAGCTGTGGAGCAGCATGGCCAATCGAACGAGGACTCTGCCACGAGTGAGGAGCCCGAGAAATGTTTGGAACAAACGGACGATCAGACGACAAAGACACTGGAGGACGCTAAGAAAACGGTCGGCGTTAGAAAATCGCCCAGGATAAGCGACAAAGGTTCTCCGGATGGTAGCGAGTCTAAGAAGCTGGGAAAAGTGGCAAACGGCAAACCGGTTCAAAAGCCAGACCACAGCGATGAACTCCTACGAGAGGATTCATCTAAATCTGCTTCTGAAAAGACTGTCTCGAACGAGGTGCAAGCAAAAGAGGTCTCAGAGTCTTCTAAGCCTTCCGACGTATCTGTTTCCCCCGAGGCGACGAGCAACAGCATCGAAGATGTGGTCGCGCAGCTTCAAGAAAGTATACAGGAAGAGGAAGATAAATCAAACGAGACCGTTCAGAACGAACCTGAGAATTTTGCGAACATTTCCGTAAATTCGGAGGAAGGAGAAACATTGGAGAGTATTTCGAAGGAAGTAGAGAGACTAGTGGCAAGAGATCAGCCAAGCAATCAGCAGGAAACGGACACAGGGAGCGTACAAGATGAAGAAGAGTTGAGTGTCAAAGACACGGCCGAGTCGTCCTCCGCGCCTCAGACAGTATCGAGCGTCAGCGAAGAGGAAGCAACTGTAAATAACATAGTCGCCGAATTGGAGGACGAAAGTATCGTGCAAGAGACACCTGCTGAGGCAACAGAGAATGCCAAAGAAGCTGAAGCACCGACTGTAGATGAGCAGGACACGAAATCCGATAGGAATAATTGTCACGTACCGGAGAACCTTAGCTCGTGTTCAGATTCGAAATCTGAAATCTCTGATGTAATCTCCAAAGATACTCCAATTCCCGTTCAAGATAGTAAAACGGAAGATGAGCACGACAATATGGAGAACGAGAAATGCAAAGAGGACAGCGCGTGCAATGATGCAGCAGCGAGCAGTCCAACCTGCGAGACGGTGGAAAAGGGAGAAGATACGAATAAGAATCCGGAGCAACAGGTTGTATCGCCGGTTGCGGAGAATCCAGGCGAGAAGACGGTCCAGGAAAACGCAACCGAGGAGCAGAAATCTAGCGGCGAGGAGAAGAAGAGGGTGTTGAGGGCTCGGGACAAGGCGAAGAAAACTGAAAAAGGGCAGACATCGTCGAGCAAGGAGCGCAATGACAATCCCAAGGGGAAAACTGACGAGGACAATGTCCAGAAGAAACAGAGTGGGCCGCAGAACGACGCCGAGGAAGACTTGGCAGAGGAAAAAATGGAAAACCCACCGACTAACGTAGAAGATCCCGAAGAGAGCCAGAACAACGATGATCCGGAGGCTAACGAGCTGGACCGTCAAGCCCGCACACGTCGCAGCAGAGATTCGAAGAAACGAAAGGACGACTCGGTTTCTCTGAAGAGCAAAAAATCGAAGCGGGAGTTGCGAAGATCTGATCAACAGAACAAGGAGGAAACTCTGCTGGACAACGAGGTGGCCAAGATCAACGAGAACAACCGATCGTTCTTGAACAACAAGTACGGCGCCGGGACGGAATGCGCCACCAACTTCAGAGGATTCTCCGAGGGAGGTAGAGGAAGCCTGGAGAAACACGAGGACATCGCGGACAGTGCGCGCAGCAAATCGGAGAACGACCTTGTAATCGCGAAGGAGCCTGAAGTTAATTGCGACGACAGATTGTCTAGGAATCTGGCGCAGAACCATGTGGCGAAGCAAGAGCAGAAGATCGATATGCTCGATGCGCAACAGGACAAGTCTGCGAAGACGCCGGAAACATCGCAGAAGGACTCGGACGAGACGTCCACGTCTGGTGAGTCGTCTAGCAGTATGAACGTCAAGATTCTCGAGACACCTGAAGACAAGGCGAAGAAGGAATCCATCCTGCGGTTACTGGGCCTCGAATCGCTGGAGAAAGCTGCGGAGAGGATGAACCATCAGAAGGCCAAGAAGGAGCAATATACCGGTACCTTGAAGACCGTAATTAGGGTGCAGAAGGAGAAGGAAAGGGACAAAAGACGGTCCAGGTCACCGTTGAAAATGGTGTTGAAGCAGGGTCGCGGAGACGGCGAAGGCGATTCACCAGAGTTCTACACCATTCAAAAGGAGGTACACGTCAATTATGATGAATCGATGTTACGAATTTGCCGAGGCAGGAGTCTCTTTACTAAATATTCTTCTTTCGTTTTCAGTTTGGAACCAGTGGTTTGGGCGATAGCAGCTCTGGTGCGAACCGAAAGTTCTCTACTAACCACAGACACTCTTGCGGTAATCCTGGTTGCGGGAATAACTACATTCTTAATCGTTCCCCTGTCCTCTCTGCTTTATTAAACAAACACGTGTCCTCGAACCCTGTTCAAGCTACCCCCTAGAATCGCGGAGAGAATTGCTTGAACCTGGATGCTGGATGAACTCGCTCGAGGTTCCATCCTTGCACTTTGCGTCAAGCAGTTTTTATTCCTCGCCAGCCCTGCAAATCATGTTCATAACAGTTCTTTTTTTTTTCGTTTAAATAACAAGCATGCCACCTAGTGCTACTGCTTCGAAGATTAAACTGATTCATTTTGTTAACCCTCCAGTCACCTCCCAAATAAAATTGATCACACATTGCCGGATAAAATAACATCGATATCTCTCGGTTCTGCCCACGATCCGAGAGTTTCGGAACGGGCTGTACGTAATCGTCGATCCTTTTTATCGCTACAGATGAAGACAACGAGGACGCTGCCCCGAAGGATCGCCAGTCTCTTGTGATTCCAGAGAAGTCCTCTTCGTTCTCTATTCATCCGGGGCGCCTTTGCGCGGACGTCTGCTGCTATTGCTTCGGGAAGTTCGGATCCTTGGACACACCAATGCATCTAGCTCAAATGAAGTCGGACGAGAGACGCAAGAAGATTCTGAATATCGAAAGACACCTTACCAAGGACTCTTGCTTGTGCGATGCGTGTTACCGCCATGTCGACAGAAAGGTACATCTTCTTTTCCATTCGCCGCCCCATTTATCAATTCACTTTCTCATCTTGCAGAGGCATGGCCGAGCTATCTCCGATTTTTGGACTATGAAACTTTGCATAGTTGTCCAAGACAAACAATCTGCCCCTGCGGAATGAAAGCGAGATTAGTCTTCGCTAGAATCGTTGCTAATTTAGATTACTGTTCACAGGCGAACACGAGTCCGACGAATATGCAGACAAAGCCGCAGAAGCAACACCGACAGCTAATGGTGTCCAAGTGTTCGGCGCGCGAATGCAGAGATGCTGCGAGACATCACGTGAAACGCCGCTGGTTGTTGAAGATAAAGGCCGGTTTGCAAAAGCAGGTGAATTCATGCTTTCGACAAGTAACATTTTCTTCGACGCATACAAATTGCTATACATTTAAACGAATTCTCTGCTATTATCCACAGGTGGATATCGATTGGGAATCCAGCCAGCATACGTCTATGTCGTTTTGCGTCGGGCATTACTCGAAGATAGAGCGATTCTTGACCTGTGCACTATGCAAACGACGGCTAGCGAGAAACTATACTCATCAGCTGGCAAACGCGGAGACGGAGGAGCTAAACCAACGGCTAGGACAACAGGGTGTTCCTGTTGTGCTAGCCGCTGGCACCTTCGTCTGCAAGCTGTGCCGTTATTTCACGCAGCTCCAGCTCAAGTACAAGGACATCGAGAACATGAATATGAGCCATCGGTCCTTTTTCAAGAATTATCGCAAGAGGTACGATCACGCGTGGTTACCTAGAATCGAGATAAATGTAAGATGACAGGAATATGTTAATTGCACACCCGATATTCCCGTTTAGAATTCTACACTACCACGACATCAAGGTATTGGACAACGAGGACGACGAAACGTCGTCGCAGAATCAGTCCAAGGACAAGGAGAAGCGTAAGAAGAACAAGTGTACCGCAGGACCGTCGAAGAGCGGACTCGCTAAGTTTACGGATGTCGCGGGCCCCTCCTCCGCGGAGAAGTCGATACCCGAGCTGAACAAGGTCGAGGGGGCTATTTCCGAGATGGACAACGAGAATCGTGCGACGAAAACGAACTCGACGGACGACGGTATCGTGCCCGGTGTCGTGCAGTTCCTCGGCCTCGAGAGCACGGTGGAAAAGCTGAAGAAACGCAAACTGCTCGAGATGCATCCGTACAACGCATCGGACGCAACGATACCCTGCGAGAACCCGAACGAGGTAGTGGAGATTCTCGCGATGGACAAAGAGGTGACTCTAACCAGATTGCCAAAGAGACCGAGGACGAACAATGACATCACGCCCGTGGTACAGCGACTGGGTGCCAATCCTTCGATCAGTGTGCGCACCTTGTTCCCCGGCGAAGAGGAGATGAACCTTCACGCGAACATCGAGTTCGCGAACGTGCGGGAGATCACTCCTCAGGGCTGGGAGAAGTGCGCCACCATGATACAATATGACCGGGACACCAAGCTGCTCTGGCAGGAGTTGCAGAGACCGTACGGGAACCAGAGCTCGTTCCTCAGACATCTGATACTATTAGAAAAATATTACAGGTCCGGCGACCTGGTGTTGGCTCCGAACGCTTCCCGGAACGCGATCAACTACTCGACGTCTGTTCAGAACAGACTGATATCCTACGAAGGTCCGGAGAAGATGGACGAGCCGATCATGGAGCCGATCGCCTCAGAGTATCACAACTCGCGACGCCTCAGCGGCGGTTACGTGCTCGAGAGGGATCGATTGGCTATGCCCGGGACGAGCAACATGAAGACCGCCACGACGACCACGACGACCTCGCAAGGATCGAAAGGTAGTCCGTCGCGAGTTCTCAAGCTGAATCCCGGCGTGTCGATCATCAAGAAACCGCCGCCGAATTTGCAACGATTGAACCTGCCGTCCACTAGCAACGCGACGAACGGAAACGTCAAACGAAAAGACGGCCAAAAGCCGGCGCCGGCCTCGTCCGGGGGCGGCAAGGTGTTTCAGCTGAGCGAGCCGGAGTACAAGCGTCTGCAGACGCTGAAGAAGCAAAAGCAAATGCTCACGGAGAAGTCGATGAACCCCGGGGCCGGAACCGGCGTCGCGGCTGGCACGAGTTCCTCCTCGCCACCGAACCTGAAGTCGACGACGCAGTACCAGAAGGCGCAGCAGCTCGCCGCACACACCCAGTTCCAGAAACACCTGAGGATGCAGCAGGAGATGCTGAGCCGGCAGAGCAGAGGCGACTTCGAGCCGTTGATCTGCGACGTCCGCTCGTTGGCGAACGAGAATAGCCCGACGCAGAATCTGTTGCACAACCTGAACCTGCCGAAGTCGATACAGGTCACCACCAAGTCGTCCAACCAGATCCCGATATTGCCGAAGATCCCGAAGTCGTTGACGGTAATACCGCAGACCGTCACCAGACCCGCCGACAAATGAGACAGAGACTCGAGGAATGACAATGAGAGACAAGGCGCCGCGGCGGATGCTCGAGATTCGCTAGACAGAAGGGACAGTAAGTAGTTAGATACGTTATATCATTAGACGAGAAAGAGAGAAAAGTGTGGAGGGCGGGGATCCGATATCCGGGCCGAGCCGTGAAATCGGCTCGACTCGAAGGCGTTTAATTAAACGGCGCTCAATCACGTTCCGGAACACGGATGGAAACCGCCCGCACGATGGAACGCGAGACAATATCTGCCTTAATCGAGCGTATCGTTTGTCCACTGCGCTCGGAAAGCTCAAAAAACCTACGACGCGCGCGTCGCGAGGCGCGTCGTCGATCGAATATTTCGGTCGGCGACCAGGGCCCCGCGCGTTCGTTTATATAGATAGAAATATAGGAAATAATGAAACGGAAAAGATAAAAAGAAAAGTACGGATATCACGAACGTTAGAGGATACTCGGAAAGACGCTAACGGAGATTTAATTACACTAACCAACCAAAGCATCGACCTGTGTATATGTGAAAAGTAGACGGAGAAATATGAGAGGAACGGAAAAACAAGTTTAACGAAATGGGAATCATGTTCAGGTAAAGAGAGAAAGAAAGATGTATATGTATGTATAGAAGTGCATATACGTTGCATACAGGCATGCATGTGCGTGCGTGCGTGCGTGTGTGTGTGTGTGTGTAAATTCGTTTCCGGAGGCGGATGGAAGTGCCTAAAAATGTGTCGCGAGATGAAGACGTTAATTTTTGATGACAGAGAGTATAACGTTGAACGGATTCGAAACACGGTATGCACGCCTATATGTATATACATATATATATATATACGCATGTATACGTATATGTACAGTTGATAATACATATGCATATATTGTATATTGAGACAAAGTAATAACGGGAATGACGAGAGGGTGTACGGAGGATTTTCCGATGGAGGGAAGCGCGGGCGGAGAGGGAGAGAAAAGAAATTATGTGGACGGTAAGAGTAAAAGGAGACCGGAAGCTCCGGGCGCTTCCGGCCGTCTCGTTTCCTCACTCGATCCGAGAGGGTTCCTCCTCCTTAGATCAAACCTACCGATAGAAATATTAATAAAAGATATATACATATGTATGAAATTCCCTCGAGTGACGAAGCTGATCTATTTGCCTTTCTGTTATCAGTACTCGGGTACTCACTGCTAGACATATCGTTGTTCCACGTTCTTCGGGAGAGAATGATGATGAGAGAGAGAGAGAGAGAGAGAGAGGGAGTGAGTGAACGAGAAAGAAAGAGAGCAAGAGAAAGTGATCGCAGGATGCGGGAAGAGAAAGAGGTCGAAGAACGATCAGTGGAAATCGGTGGTTCGTTCCTTTTGTCGAAGGCGTCCGAGGAGAAAAAGTCGAGCATACACGCGTCAGTATGTTTCATCATGGCACCGGATGTCTCGGTTGGCTCGCACTCGCCTTGAACCGTACGTTGCTCCCGGCCGTACAGGTACGCGGCTATAGGGACGGCGGAAAATTAGAAAAAGGAGCAGTTTCGAAGCCGAGTCGTTAATTAATAATCGAACCGCCGCCGCCGATCTGTTAACCGGGCGAATCTGTGTCGAGGGAATCGCGTGTACTCTACCCCTTTAGCGCCGCGAGTCAGAGTTACGAACAACAGGACGTTGCTCGCGGGGGATACACCGTGCTCTGTGAAACCGACAAGACGCCATCGACTATCTCGTGATTAAACGTGATTAAAATTTAGCTTAAATATAGGTCGAACGTGGAGGTATCTTTTGATAATCGAAGAAGGGCGGGGAACGTTCGACGATTAAACGATGAAGTCTGATGGAAAGGGACGAGTTGGCTCGTCTTCCCCGATCAACAGGTCGAAACGTGTTCGAAATCGGTGAGAGACGAAGAAAAACGACGACGATCTTCTTGTTAGTGCAAAGTTCTTTAGCGAATGTTAGCGAAAGTTTAGCGAATGAAAAATGCGATCGATTTACTATACGGTCGGGAGGGGTTGAGAGATCGCTTCGAATCGTGCGCGGCGAACGAGACAACCGGTGCATCCTGTTTCGTCATTGATATACATATATATATATATATATATATACATACATACATATACATATATGTGTATATATATTTTGTCTACCTGAGAGAACATTTGAGAGGTATAAACGGAGCGTTGTCTGTCGCGGCGCTCCACGGGGATACAATTGTACATTAGAAACAGAAAAATATATATTTTGGCCTGCTCGCCAGAGGAGCGCGTAACGACGTCTTGTAATTAATTCTAATCGAAACGAGGAGACAAAGTAGCGCGGGCAATTGTTGGACGAGCGGAGTTACGGATAAGTGTTGATTGTGCGAAATGGTAAATACACTGAGATAGGTGTAGATCTATGCCCCGAGCTTATTTATTACGTTAACTGCACATATATGCGTGTGTATATGTACATGTATAAATATATACAATATATATGCATACACCTATGTGTATATAAATACATATTGTATATGTACTACGTATGTGCATCTAGACACGTATGCCTGTGTATGTGTATACGTATGTATATGTACATATATATACGTTTCTATTGCATTGTATATAACTTGATAATTATTTTCTAGTTGATAACCGATGATGATTATTATTAATATTATAATTATTATTATTAATATTATTATTATTATTATTATTAATATTATTATTTCATTAATTCGATTGCTATACACGCCACGAACGTATTCGCTCGTGCAGGATTCCTTTATTGATCGTGTATATCACAATTTATAGATCGCGAATGAGAAGAGTGCAAAAGAGGGGGAGAGAAAGAAAGAAAGAGAGAGAGAGAGAGAGTGCGTGAGGTTTTGAGATTTCTTTTCGTCCGGACGGATACGCGTCCACGTTTTTTTTTCTTTTCTTTTCCTCTCCTCTATACAAACTTCTTCTTCTTCGTTTTTACATTGTCGCCACGTGAAGATCGGCGAGAAAATCGCGAACGGCATCGATGACGGCTCGATATTTATCGAGCCTCGTCCTGAGTTCTATTATTCATTCGATCGTGTTTGTCTTATCGTTTAGNTTAATTAATAATCGAACCGCCGCCGCCGATCTGTTAACCGGGCGAATCTGTGTCGAGGGAATCGCGTGTACTCTACCCCTTTAGCGCCGCGAGTCAGAGTTACGAACAACAGGACGTTGCTCGCGGGGGATACACCGTGCTCTGTGAAACCGACAAGACGCCATCGACTATCTCGTGATTAAACGTGATTAAAATTTAGCTTAAATATAGGTCGAACGTGGAGGTATCTTTTGATAATCGAAGAAGGGCGGGGAACGTTCGACGATTAAACGATGAAGTCTGATGGAAAGGGACGAGTTGGCTCGTCTTCCCCGATCAACAGGTCGAAACGTGTTCGAAATCGGTGAGAGACGAAGAAAAACGACGACGATCTTCTTGTTAGTGCAAAGTTCTTTAGCGAATGTTAGCGAAAGTTTAGCGAATGAAAAATGCGATCGATTTACTATACGGTCGGGAGGGGTTGAGAGATCGCTTCGAATCGTGCGCGGCGAACGAGACAACCGGTGCATCCTGTTTCGTCATTGATATACATATATATATATATATATATATACATACATACATATACATATATGTGTATATATATTTTGTCTACCTGAGAGAACATTTGAGAGGTATAAACGGAGCGTTGTCTGTCGCGGCGCTCCACGGGGATACAATTGTACATTAGAAACAGAAAAATATATATTTTGGCCTGCTCGCCAGAGGAGCGCGTAACGACGTCTTGTAATTAATTCTAATCGAAACGAGGAGACAAAGTAGCGCGGGCAATTGTTGGACGAGCGGAGTTACGGATAAGTGTTGATTGTGCGAAATGGTAAATACACTGAGATAGGTGTAGATCTATGCCCCGAGCTTATTTATTACGTTAACTGCACATATATGCGTGTGTATATGTACATGTATAAATATATACAATATATATGCATACACCTATGTGTATATAAATACATATTGTATATGTACTACGTATGTGCATCTAGACACGTATGCCTGTGTATGTGTATACGTATGTATATGTACATATATATACGTTTCTATTGCATTGTATATAACTTGATAATTATTTTCTAGTTGATAACCGATGATGATTATTATTAATATTATAATTATTATTATTAATATTATTATTATTATTATTATTAATATTATTATTTCATTAATTCGATTGCTATACACGCCACGAACGTATTCGCTCGTGCAGGATTCCTTTATTGATCGTGTATATCACAATTTATAGATCGCGAATGAGAAGAGTGCAAAAGAGGGGGAGAGAAAGAAAGAAAGAGAGAGAGAGAGAGAGTGCGTGAGGTTTTGAGATTTCTTTTCGTCCGGACGGATACGCGTCCACGTTTTTTTTTCTTTTCTTTTCCTCTCCTCTATACAAACTTCTTCTTCTTCGTTTTTACATTGTCGCCACGTGAAGATCGGCGAGAAAATCGCGAACGGCATCGATGACGGCTCGATATTTATCGAGCCTCGTCCTGAGTTCTATTATTCATTCGATCGTGTTTGTCTTATCGTTTAGAATCTACTGCCTTAATGAAAGTGACTAGCGTCGTTATTATACCGATATTGTAAATAGCTCGAGAATGATTTTACATGATGAAACGAACAATCTAATCTTAAGGAATATTATGTAAATTACCTCGTTACGCGGAAATTCGAAGACACGGGAGAAACAGGAACAAGCAACGAAACGGAAGGGGACGCGGTCGGTTCTACCGATCGGTCCCGTTAGAGGACTACGGGAGACAATGACTCGTTTCTTGATGGAGGGGAAAGGAGAAAGAATTAGAGAGAGAGAGAGAGAAAGCGAGCGAGCGAGCGAGAGAGAGAGAGGATATTTTCGCTTTTGAACCGATCGAGTAGTCTGTCCCACCAAAACTGCCTTCAGTATTGAAAAGTGTCGAGCGCTCGAAGATATTTTCTCTTCCGTTTCTTTCGTTTGATTTCTACTCCTATTTTTCTTTTCTTTTTTTTTTGTATCTATGCCGTCCTAATCGCAGGACCAGCAGCGTTTCGAAAACACCGGGGAAAAAAACGAAACTCGTAGAACGGAAAATTTGCGAATCGAGAAACGATGCTGCTGCTGCTGCTGCTGCTCTTTTGGTTCAACCGTTTTGCACTGGTTACGCGTTCACGGGGACTTTATTCCGCCTCGCATGTTCATTCCCGAACGCGATCGGTTCAAAAGGGTTAGGATGGATGTCCGGCTGTTTTTCGATTCGAAAAGATGTCTAATGTCGGCTGTGTCGAGCTAGAAGATAGAGGGGGTTAGGTTTGTAGCGTAGCTTTCGAAGTAATCAAGAAACTTTTATCGATCGCGAAATTTCATTCATCCAATTGTTCGTACGATCGTGCGCGATCGTTTCTTCTTTTCTTTCTTTTTTTTTTCGTGTCGAAACTGTTCACGGCTTCCCGATCTCTGCGCCACGTACGCGCGTCACGTGCAGTATCCGCCGATGATCGTTCGACAAGCCCCGCGCGGAGAGCCTCTGCTTCGCGAAGCAGCATGGCCACCACCGGCGGCGCCGGCACAGCCGTAAGAACACCCGAGAAATTTCTTTCGATCGCGTACACACCTGCACCGTAATCGCGCGTCACCTGTTGTTCCCCATCGCGTTTATTCAACGATATCGGACGAGACCCATTGAAGAAAAAAAAGAAACGGCCACGTTGCCGGCTCCAGGAAGATCATTGACGGATACTGTTGTTTCTCTTCGAGGACCCGTTAAACCACGTGATTGTTTTGTAGCGACTCGCACGAACGAAAACAATCCTATGAACATTTTTTGCTACGATATGCACGGAAACACAACGTAGATTTATAACGAAGATCGATAAGAAAAGAAAATGGGTGAAAATCAGTGGACGACCAAGTCCAACGCCACCGACGAGTTAACTCGTGCTCTCCTAGGTTAATAGGTTAACAACTAATTTCGTCGGAGAAACAGAAAGAGAGAGAGAGAGTCCGACGACACGCTCTCGAGTACGGTCGGTCTTCGCAATTCCGACGATCGTATTGTATCGTAGCGCGACGGTTCTTAGTCGTCCGAAGATTTTAGGAACAAGTTTCTCGTATTTGGAGTGAAACACGCGTTGATCCTACGGCGCGCGCGGCCTTCGGATTTTTCGCGAGGCTAGCAGAATGTACAGGGTGGACTAGAAAAAAAGTCGGGCATAGTTTCGCTGGAATTGTTTTCATCCTGCGCAACGAAACGATCGGCGGCAGCAGCGTGACTCTTTCGACCGGAGTCGGTCAGTTTTCGGTTTCTCAGCCGGAACGAAAGAGATTGTCCGTCGATTGTTTCGTGCAACGACGTCCGAGCAGCGCGAATCGATCTCGATTATCCGATTATTATTATTATCTCGAATATCGTCCGTTGTTATACGTCGATCGGACGAATACTCGTTGGAATATTCATCGTGAAAAAAAATCGTTCGGTCCTTCGCGGTCCAGAAGTTATTCGGACCACCGTGTGGAAGAAGAACGTCTTATACACGGTGACCCGAATTTGGAGACCGAAAGACTTCGTGTCAACCCTGAGCATTCTATCGGCAGGAGAACTTCGTTTCCTGTCGCCGACGCGAAAATTCGACAATCGAAATCGATCTTGAATCGAACGGATCGTCGTTGCACGATGCTTCCGGCGATCGATCGTTTCTCGAAAGAGAGACCGGTACGGTGCCGTGGGGAGGAGCGATGGTTTTCGAAAGTCGAGAAACAGCACACGAGACGGCGGCGTGTCCGTGAAACGAAGTACGCAGCGAAGAGAACCAAGCAAGCGACTTCGTGCTCGCTCGTGTAATCTAATCTGGAAAACGTTCACGTGGCGACACGTAAAAAAAAAGCGTACGTACACACAGAGACACGGAGAGAGAGAGAGACACACACGTGTACACGTACACGCGACGGACACGGATACTGTTTGGTAGCTGCGCATCCACGTTTGGGAGCGCACGTACGCGTGAACGATAGGAAAGAATGCTGGCGTGGGGTATTATATGTATAATAAAGGTATATATATACATATAAATAAATAAATATATATATATATTTATATATATTATTTATATATATATGTATATATAATACTGGACGTTATGAGTGTGTACAGGTATGCATACATGTATACGCGGGGAGGCACGCGTGTATATATGTATGTGCACGTATGCAGCGGATAAAAATTTAATAAAGAAAAAAAGAAGTACTCGACGCGGTACATTATACATACGAAAAGCTCTATTTTATTAAGGATATTTTTGATATATCTATGTGTATATATATATGTATACATACGTATATGTGTATATGTATATATATATGTATGTACGTAAACACACGCATATATATATATAGAAATAAAATTATAAATATATGTATATCGAAGCTGTGCGAGAGATCACCGTTCGAATAGGATATTCGACGATCAGTGTAATTATTGTTATCGACGGCCGATCCTGTCCGAGGAACAAAAAAACAATCGCGCGGCCATTTTACCGAGCGGTGTGCAGTGCGTGTCGAACCGTATTTTTCTATTCGGACCCCACCCCGGGACCCTAATCGCAACGACGATGCTTTCTCCGCTTTGTTTCTTCATACTGGCGGAGATTCCCGCGGACCGAGAACAAAAGAGACAAAAGCAGAACGATCGCGAGGAGCCGCGATTCGCGTTCTCGAAACGTCTCGCAACCTCGTCCGCGGGAACGAATCGTTACTTCCTTTTATTTATTAGTGTTTTACGCATGAAGTCTCGTCTCAACTTTCGTTCTCCCGATTCTGTTGCTATTTCTTGTTTCCCCCTCCCCCGCTCCCCCCCGATCCCGACCTCGCACGGCCCCCCTCTCCCCCCTCGCACGTTTCAAACGAAGGATCAGACGAGAAGGAGAAATTCGGATAGATTTTTATAAATTGTTGTTGTAAAGAGAATAATTGTTACGGATTACCCGCGTTTGTTTACGTGTTACGGGGAGAGGAGGAGACGTTGGCGGGAGGGGCGGTGATACGCGAGGCGTCGGTCGGTCGTGTTTACGTTCCTTCGTTCGAGAGCACGGGTCTCTCTGTCCTAGCGGTATCCTAATCACCTCTCTTTCACCCGTTTCTCTATCTCTTCCACCACTCTTCGTTTCCTTTCACGTAACAGCTAAACATTTAACTGATGAGCGTATTCGATTATTGTAAGAACCTGTGTATCGATTACAGTTTTGCGTTAAAATATACCTTTTTTTCCTCTGACACTGGAGTACCATCGAGTCATTCCTTTCTGAGAAGATCGGACCGTTTTTTTTTGAAAATAAAAAAATAAAAAATACGCTCTCCTATATACCATAGGCGAGTGAAAACGACGAATGCGTTTCCATTCGAATGATAAAGTATACGGAGCCGCGCAAGCGTCCTAAACGTTGCACCGTTGTAGCAAAGTAATTCTTTTCTGCCCATGAGAATTTTTCAAAGACATTGAAAAAAAGAAAAATAGATCGTACGTCACAGTTCTACTCGAACGGGTAGAATTTCGAACGGTTCTTGAACCGCTCGTGCTCGACTCTGTTCCCGTCGCCTTGGTCGAGAACGACGGAAAGCACCGGTCAAAAATCCTTCGTCCACGCTAACTGCATACTTCTCGGCGAATGATTGTCCCGCGAGAGTGTGCACAGGCCGCTGTACACAAAGGAACGTGAGAAAACGTGAGAAAACGTGGGAAGAGAAAGAGAAGGAGAAGAAACGCGCTCGCGCGCGCGCGCACCACCGATGCGAGGGATTGTGTATACGTTTCTGTCCTGTATGCCTGCAAGCATGTGTGTATGTGCGTGTGTGTGTGCGTGCGTATGCGTCGTGTGCGCGTCTGTGGAACAGTGTGAACGAACTGAATTTAAGTTTTAAGAATTCTATTTTTGTGATTAAAAGAGAAAAAGCGTAATTACTGTGTAGTCGTGTGTGTGCGTGTGTGTGTGGGGGGGGATAGGAATCGTCGAATGACTTTTTTGCCGGTGAAAGAACGCGGCGAACGTTTTTGCTTTGTTCCTTTTGAAATTCTCGCCGGGACACGTCGCCACGGTAAAAATAATACCGCGGAGAGCCAAGACAGTCGTTCGAGACTTTTCGCTAGTAGTAGATCCAGGCTGTGAACTGCCCGAGAACCGTTAAACACGCTTCGGGAACACGTGTCTGACAGCATACGGTTTCGTTTCTACTGGCAGTAGACGTGACTACGTTTGCCGGGACAAGGCGAAAGAAACGGTTGCCGAGAAAACCGGATCTTTTCGCTTGCTCTCGGAACTGCGACGCGGCTTCTCTTCTCGATCGAAACACACAGTTCCTTGAAACGAGAGAGAGAGCGAGAGAGAGAGAGAGAGAGAGAGAGAGACGGTCGTCCGGATCCCGTCTACCATTCGATTCTCGGTTGCATTGAATATCGAAATATTTTTCGAGATGTTTATCGAGATTAATGTTATCAATGATCTCGAAACCTCCCGGCGAATCTGCGAAAACCCGGGAGCCGAGATTAGGAAAAACAGGGGGCGAAAAAATCATTCGACGTTCTCCGCGGAGAAGAAATATTTTTGAACATTGCATGGACCGACAAATGCAACAGAATTATCGTCTTTCTTAGGAGATAATATTTTATTACGTAAAGCGGGACAAAGCGAACCGAAAGAAATTAAGCAATATATATATATATATATATATATATACCTACATATATATATATATACGTACGACGAGCAAAAGAAGAAGAAGTAGTAGTAGGTGTCGATCGTCTCGGTTACAACGCGACAGAGAAAAAAAAAAGAATATCGCTGTGAGTTTACTTGTATGATGTGATGATCGTTCGTGTAGCAATGGCGCCAATTTCACCAAACGACGCTGCTGTTTCTCGACTAACTTCAGAAAACGCTTTGCGATCGCGGAATCGATCGATAGGCGCGCGCCCGCGAGACCGCGCTGGCCCCTTACTTCAGGGACCTATATTATACGCGCGTTGACAGTCCGACACTTCACATCGAACGAGAGATATTATCGTTGGCGTGTGAAACCCGAGGTCGTTTCGATTGTTTTCATGATATCTCGAATTTCGAACACATCGACGGTTCCCGTGGAACAGTGCCGGCGGCCCCGGCACCGTTAGACAAGCATTCGACGACGGCAAAGAATAACGTGTTCATATTTTTTACCCGATTTTGTAACCGCCATCGGTCGGACACGGCTCCCGGCGATGGTGACAGTTAGATAATTCGCGATCGATTCTCGAACGGTCGCGATCCTTTAAAACGCACAAAAACACACATACGCGTCGCCGACCCGACGACGGTAAATAGAACCGATTTGTGCGCGAAATACGTAGACGATTTTTCACTTTTTAATACATCTCGCGGATAGGTCAGCGGAGCAAAACGTGTGCACGCGTCTCGTCGACTCGCGATCCATGAAAACACGCGATCACGAGGTCCGTTTCAACGAGAACGATAATTCGATCGCGTTCCCTCGAAAAGAACAAAAAGAAAATTCATTAGGATGTTTTTGGTGGATTTGCCGCCTTCTCCGTACTCAAGCCATTCGATAGTAGCGATCCCTTCGCAAGAATATCGACATCGATCTCGAAACGTTTCTCCCCTCCTTCTTCCCCCGTCCCGCCCCACGCCCCTAATAACCCTTCTTCATTTCTTTTTCGATCTTTTTTTTTTTACTTCGAGGATCGAGTGTCGCCAACAAGCAACGTCGATACCGCGCGAGAGTAATAATTGTTAGGGGAACAAATTCAACACACGAGACACGAATAAACAAATGACAGAGACGCGTCTAGCGTACGCAGTGACTGTGTCCATTTTTGAAAATTCGGCACACATCGTTATGATTATGTTATTTAAATAAAATATTATTAACACGCGTTAATATTATTATCGTAACCTTTGTTTATTTGGTTCTAATGTAATAGTTATTAGTTCGCCATCCTTTGTATATATATTCGCAACACTCAATAAAAAAAAATATTGAAAAAGACTACGTGCACGTGTTTTTCATTGATATATTTGGAGAACGAATCTATATGCAGTAATGTCTCCGTTACTGACGCTCAGATTGTCCACCTAAAATGGATAATTTGGGGAGAGGAGATACGATTGTTCGATTTTTACCTCGTTTTTATAATCGTGGACAATTTATAACTATAAAAATAAACCGCAAGGCTCGAATAATCGTATCTCCTCTTCCCAAATTGTCCATTTTTGCGGTCAATCTGGTGGCGTCAATTAGAGAGACATTACTGTAGACAATTTGGAAAGAGGAGATACGATTATTCGAGCCTTGCGACTCGTTTTTATAGTTACCGATTTTCAACAATTGCAAGACTCGAATAATCGTATCTACTCTTCCCAAATTGTCCATTTTTGCGGTCAATCTGGGCGTCAATTAGAGAGACATTACTGTACTTACTTCGTGACGATGATGCTTCCTCGGTGTTTAACGCGTTCACTATGATGAACGAGTTGGCTGCTCGTCCGTAACGGATTTCGACATTATTATTGTCTTTGCTATACCTACCTGCAAGATCGAGATGTCATCTGGACTCACAGGTTAGAACGCGCGCTCGCAGAAGAAAAAGGCGGGAAAAGAACGAGAACGACACGGCGTTATATTTTTGCAGTTTATTCGCAAATTGTTCGTATAATTGGTAACTGATCTCGGATAACTAGTACTAAAAACCTAAACAATGTATGAAACTTTATACATAGTTGATTACTCTTACACGGGTGGCTAAGGCAGCTATTTACAGTGTGTGACAATGTCGCGTCGAACCACGAGATTCGAGATCTCGATTCTACCGATATCGCAGACAATCGTGCATCGAGCTGAGACACGAAACATCCCCCTCGAACTGCGGTTCGAACGTTCGAAAGGAAGATTGGATTTTTTTTGCATTATTTTCACGTTTATGCATATGTATATATCGCAGACTGCGGATCTTTATTGATCTGAATAGAGAATTTCTTTGATCCGTGGATTATTCTTGTTTTGTTAAACCGGTTGTTCGATCGGTTCGCTCAGCTCTACAGCTTCGTTTTATTTATTTATTTATTTATTTATTTACCGAGGGACTATCGGTTCAACGGTCCTATCAAATTCTGTCGGCAAATCGTCCAATCAACAGCTTTGTAAATTTATTTATAAAAATTGTAAATTCGCATAAACACCCGCAGTCTCTTTATCACCGTTTGCTTTATTACAGTTACTTCTTTTCCAGCAGCTCTCACGGGATTTTGTAAAAGTTTTGACAATGCTTCGATTTTCACCGATACGATCACGTGTAACGGAAACAGATTCGCGGTGACCCTTTAGGTGCTAGTTGTGCCGTGCGTGCACAGAGGGCGTCGCCCGTGATTCGGCGACCGATTTCTCGTTACCAGAGGGGATGAAGATATGGAAAAGAATCTGGTTGCGAGTCGAGGAAGGTTAAAGAAGAAGGTAAGGGGGCATACGAAAGATCACTTTCGAACGAAAACGTAAAATAAAAGGCTGTGGAAAACAACGCGTCGTCGAACATCCAATTCCTTTTTAGCACTTTTGTGAACGGTACGGGAAAGAGGGATAAGTTAGATGGAAACGGCACGGGGCGAAGCTAAGAATAGATCTAACATCCGATGTATTTTTGTGTCACGCGAGCCTGAGGGTTCTATAACCCTATTTTTTTTTTGTATCCTTATCAAAGTGTAAAAGTGAGTACCATACTCTCGATGGTAATTATTCAAGCGAAATCGCGAGAATATTACACGCTAATATTATTACGATATGATCGTAATTCTAAACACACATTTTTTTCAATTTCATTCATCGGATAATAAGACAAATCGGAACGCGATTGGAGAGAGAGAGACAATGTTGGTTCTGGATAATTCCATCGTAAAAGAAAATTAATGATAAACCAAGGTATTTTTCTCCAAAATCGTTGTCGCCGATCACAAAATCTTTTTACGATGTTAAGTCTGTTCCGTAGCCTCGCTCGTGCCGGAGCCACTCTTAAAAAATGGATCAACGTGAAATATAACCGACTTGGTCCACGAATTAATGACAAACATTCTTTTTTTAGGGCAGTATCTTCTCCGTGGAGAATCTTCTTGGAAATCTCGATCCCCCGATTCCTCGAAAAAAAACTGTACCCGACAACAGGATTCATGTTTAAAATTGATTCGCGGATTCTCACCGGTTGGCCAACCGGATGTACAAAGTATTGCACCATATAGTGTCTGCAGAGTTCACGCGAAGATACACCATTTTTTATCAATCGAGCTTATCTATATATGTATCTTTCGAACAATACATTATCTATGTACAAGAACAATGTGTACAAATTAATATTACACGGTCGCGTGTATCGTTTTCATCGTAACAAAATTTTACAAAACTTATTGCGACATTCTTAGCTTGTGGGGGACAGGGGGGAGAGTTGAGTTAACAAAATTCCGCGTTACGCGCGGTCGTGAGACCGTAGTAAGTCGTTTGACGTATCGAAATGGAACATACACTTTTACAAAGCGAACAAAAAAATTTGTAACTAGTGAAAACGAACGCTCGGCTGTACCGTTCTCGTCAATCCTCTCGCAATTATTCTTATCCATTCCGATCAGCGTGGAACGATTAAACACGAACCCAAATCCAAATTAACAACTCGCTCGAAGCCTACTTGCAAATATAGGGTTGAATCATAAACGCGTTCCTCCACCCCTTTCTTAAAAAAACCTGTAAGTTCCAGTCATGCGAATAAAATCTTAACTTATTATACAAATTCTCAGTTACCATTTCTAGCTAGACGACTGTTCATTGTTTCTCATGTTCGAACATATTTCTCTTATATCTTTTTTATCTATTTATGATCCAACCCGTTTACCGAGCCGCGCCGTATCGTTTGACAGTTCTGCTATCGACGATGCGATATTGCGTATATATATAGCCAATCCAACCGAACCGAATCCGAATCCGATTTAAAAAGGTTCTTCGACAGAACGCTCGAGAAGCAGTTTAGATTTGTCGTTGAAGGACTGCGAGGATGCGACTGGCCCCCTCGTTATTGTCGGCGGAACGAGAAGGCGACAACGCGAGACGAAATATCATTAATAGGTATAACCGAAGAACGTTGCGCAACAATTAAGGCCCACCGTAGCATTATCGCAGGGTACAGTGAATTCGTTCGATTTCATCGCACACCACCACATTATTATTATTATTTGTTTAACTCACGACGCTACTCTAAAGGCATTTTTACAGAGGCGCGAGAAACGCGTTCCGTCGTTCGCGGCATTTCTCGTCTGTTGCACTTCGCGTAATTGTCCATCGAAGAAATTCCACTACAAATTCACCTATAATATTATCAATTAACGTGCTCTTACAAACGTACTTGAATATATACAAATCACATATATATATACATACAACGTGTGCACTGTATACATATATATGCAGGATGCCTATGCGTATTTCAGGACATTTTGGTACCGACGATCGTACGTACAACTTTCGGCGTTCAAATCCTGTGTGTATGTGTGTGCGCGTGTACGTATACACCACGAAATACCGAATCGAACTCTAGAGCGGTACCTCGATAGATCTGGCTAACGACGAAGGGACCTCCTCGAGGCTATGCGAAAAGCGTTCTACAATAGTATCCTCCGGTTGCACGTTCACTTTCTGCGCGTCTTCGCCCGTACGTTTCCATCAGGGTCGACGATACCACAAAGAGAAACGCGATTCGTACAGCATGCGACAAGAGAACACCGTATTTCTTCTCTAACATTTCTTATCTATATAAAACAGACGCGATCGCGCGACGTCAGAATGAAATCCGTGGGACAGCATGAGGTAAACGCGACGCTCCTCCGCCGAACGACTCTGGCACCGATCGTTGCTGTTTGCTCGAGGCTTAACCGTTAATGCCCGGCCCGTATAAATCTATAATACTCCTTCGCGTCTTTCATAGAACGATTGCCATGCGTTACGACCGAGGAGCCGATAAAAATTTCTATGGATTTGATCCCCGTCGTCTGGCGACCGCGTCGTTCAGGATTCTATTTCCGGTCCCGGGATGCGCGAGAAAACTGTTCGGCACACGGCTGTTTTCCCGAGATCGCTCGCCAGGATACAACCGACCAGAGAGAAGAGTCCTCTTCCGAGTCTTCGGTACCAAATACATCCTCGACGAGAGGCGACGGTGTCCGCGAAGCCAATTCGGCCGCTCGATCGCCGGCCTATAACCGAACGATCGACCGGCCAGCCAGCCGCCTCTCTTTCTTCTCATCTTCGCCCTCCATAGTCCAGGTTCATCCTCGCCGTGTGTCCTCGTGTGTGCCGCGAAACCGTCTGCCCGCGTAGTCGTGATCGACGATAGCAGGGTGGTGCTCAAGGCACGAGGCTCCCTTCTAAGTTTCCAGACCCGGCACTAGACTGTGGAACGTTTGGATGTCGTGGAAGGCCCTGCCGCAGCTCTGGTTGTTGTTTCTCTCGAATTTCGCCAGGTCGAAATGCTCGTCCAGCGACTGTAGCTCGACCAGACGCTCCTCCAGGCTCTTCGCGGAGTCCGCGAACCTGGCGAAGTCGCAGATCCGGTCGGGGTCAACGACGTCGGACGCCTCCATCATGCCCACGTCGCCGGATCTCGCGACCACGCTGTTCAACTGCGCGGCAGAGTCGTCCAGCTCGCTGGGGAACATCGCGGAGCTGCAGCAACTACTCGTGGTGGTGGTGCCGGTGGTGGGGTTGTTGCTGTTGTTGTTGTTGCTGTTACTGCTGCTGTTGGTCGTCGTGTTCGCCGTGCTGGTGCTGATCATCGTCGTCGACGATCGAACGTCGATGCCGCCCAAACGATCCTCCGGGTAGACCAGGTGGTGGTGGTGCGGGTTCTCCGGCTCCTGGACCTCGTCGATGTGGGACAACAGCCGAGGTGTCGGCGGCAGGATGTAGAAGTCGCTGAACACGTCGTCCTGGAGGTCGAGGTCGTCGTGCCTCTGCCGCTTCGGCCCGAGCCCGTCGTTCCTCGTGTCGTCGCTCAATCTGCGGAAACCAATCACGATTAGATCACGAATCCACAACAGTTTCTACACGATCGCTGATCGTGTCTCTCGAAAGTTGCCACTCGACAGCCCCCCTCTCCCCCTCTTCTAAGACATTACGCTACGGGCGCGCGCGCGCGCCCTACCCCCGCGTTTCTCCGCTTGCTTTCTTGCGTAATCTACATTATGTAAAACGAACCCATTAAGATCCTAGCGTTCTTCTTCCGCCACTCGGTGGATCCTATTGATGTTACGCGACTCTCCCGTTACGAGGACTATGTTGAAAAGATGGAAATCCCCTCCCACCCCCCGAAATCGTGCGGAACGAGTAGCAACGTTCGTACAGCGATTTAAATCCTCGGTCGAGTTTTTGTAGAAAACGACCGAGGACGTACCTTTTTCTGGAGGTGGTGTCGTCGTCCGTCACGCCGACGATAAGGTTGCTCGAAACATTGTTCTCTTTGGTGGAGTCGTTCAGATACGGGACCACCGGAAGCCCGTAGTTCCTCGTCTTCTCGTCCCTGTTCTCGCGTTGCAACCGTCTCACGGCGTTGTTGATAAGCACAGATCTGCAGAGGCTCGCTTCCGGGTCCTCGATCCTCCTCAACTTCCCGGCGGAGATCTTCAGAAGACGTCGACGCTCCTCTCTCGCACGATATTTGGCGGAAATCATCGTAGGTCGGCTCCTGCGTATAACTAGATCCTCTTCTAATCTCATCTTAGCGTCTGAAACGAGAAAACGTTATATATAAATATATAAATATAGTATAATAATTTGTAAACGGAAGCAATATGTAAATTTAAAATATATAAATTTTATATTTAAAATATATAAAATGTGTAAATTTTTTAATATATAAATTTTTCAATGAAAAATTTCGTATTGGCGGCGTTCGATCGACTCTACTTTTGTTTCTGTTAAAGCGCAACGCGATGGGAAAAAGAAAAATGTTTGCGTAACGGTATCGCCGAGAGAAGACTACTGTAACGCGCCGTGGCGACCATACGAGGAAGGTTAGCGGTACGCGAGCACGAATTTACGTGTTTACATGGCGCGCGCGCGCTGCGCCGATTATGAGAGCCAGATCATGGTATTCTTTTCCGCTATTGTCGCGACGATGACCCGAATACGAGCTTCCGTCGTTCCGCGACGAACGATTCCTCTCCTCGAACACACCGCGCGCCTCCCCCTAAATCGGTACGAAACGACCGATTCTCGTCCGGAAACGTGCTTTGTCTTTAACCTGTTAACAGGACAACCATACGAGTTAACTCTCCATGCACGACTTTGTTTATTATATTATTATTTATATTTATTGTTTATATATATTATTTATATTATTATATTATTTATATTATATATATTATTTTATCTTTTCCTGTTTCGTTCGATAATGTTTATCTTACGTATGAATATATTTTCGGAACAATCGCGGGACGCAAGGTGGATGTCGTATCGATACGGATACGCGACAGGGACGGTAGAGATAGATCAGGGAAAACGAGTACGATATCACGATATAAACGACTCTCCCCTGGTTCCCTCGTTCGGTTCATTTTGCACGTAATTTGATCGGCCAATAAATCGCGTCGGCTCGTACGCGATAAAAACAATTCGTGCCCGTTGATATTGAAACACGACGGAGACGCGAAACGTGTTTTTCCCGGCGAATTGACAGGATGTCAATGTTCCCGCAGGCTTGGAGCATGCGTGACCGATTAACAGACTGCGTAATGCACTATTTATAGAGACCGCTTTTTGCACGCACGGGAGCAAACGGAATTCCCGTGCGACGCGAGCTTCCTAGTGTGTTTCCAACGAGAAAGAAAGAGAGTTTCAGATGTTCGTTCGAAAGAATCCAGTCAAGGTATTTTCCGCTCGTACTAATCTCTATTTACGCACCCATCCGTCGTCGTCCGTGAAACGGTGGACGTTTCACGAAGTCACTTCCTAACCTATAAATCATAATTTCTAGAACAACGTTTGGTTTCGAGGAAAAAATCGTAAAGTTCGCGGAGAATGTCCTCGGTTTTCCTACACTTCTATTGGCGGTCGCGTAGTCGTTCCGGGTAACGGACGCTCCGTCCCGGGACGTTCTTTCCACGGCTGATCATGGAAATGGCATGGAATTATGTTGTTCGGCGGAATAATCGAGCGAAGGAAGGCTAACGTGGTACGCGTAGAAAGTATGCAAACCGAGACTCCCGTTAAAAAGGGAGGAAGATCTCGACCGAATCGTTGCGATTAACATAGGCTATTATAGGTTAAGAGTCGACGTCGATAGAGAATCAGATTTCAACGGGACTAGCAGTTTTATCTCTTCCCCTCCCCCTGTGTTCTTTCCTTGAACTGAGTCACGTCCACGATTTCGTACGTAACAATTAACATTTAACGGGAAGAGCATGAATCTCTCGGAAAATGATTTCGACGAATGATCGGTTGAGTCACGTTCGCGGGACAGAAATACGTGACGCGCGGAGAACACACGAGTTTATTCCGTCGGCCGACAGATGGCGGCGCCGACACGTTTGGCCGGCAGCAACAAGATGGCCGCCGCGCGCTACATTAATCGCGTCGAAAGAATCGACGTACCGAGTGTCGCGTGACACTTGTTGCTAAATCATTTGCTGCGTATCGGTGCTGAACTTTAATCGATACGAGATGGCTCGGTGTTCGAGCGTCGATATCCAACCGTTAATTGATGTCACGACGACCGCTATTATTTTTTACAGAGCGCGCGTGAAATAGTTATCGTCCCGACGAATCCCAGTACCGGCTCTATTTTCTATGGACTACGAAAAATCGAAATGACAAGAATAAGATCCGTCGGCGGAGCAATTTTACTGAGACGTCTCCTCGCGAGAATGTAGGAGGGAGAGCGAGAGGGGGATAGAACCGATACGAATAGGGCGTACGGCTACCATAATGCGGTCAAATCTACACGGAGAGAGATCCGTCTGCTTTAATTCGACGGTTCTACTTAATTTCGCGGTTACGGAGAATGGAGAAGAACCATGGTGAACCGAGAGACGATTTTACGCTCCAAGCGTGCCTAAGCTAACTTTCTCCGCGAGAAGAAAAAACTGCCATGGATACGCGTTACCTAACCTGTACAGTCTCTGCTTTGGAGTCGCTGACTCGTGCGCGTCGTCCTCTCCCCACCCGTTTCCCGTAAGCTTGCTCGCGCGTAGGATATATATTTACACATCTACACGGCTTCCCTGTTTCCTCGCGTACCGAACCTTCTCCCTTTCCCCCACCACCCGCCCTAACTGACTCGCTGCCGCGCGTCATTTTTATCCGATACAGTTATTCGAAACAACTTAACTGTCGATACAGTTGACATTGTTCATGTAACAGAAGAACGAAGATTAGATATGCATGTAGATTGCTGCTCGTACATCGTTGTAACAACTCGAGAGCCGGATCGGGACTCGTTCAATTTAAGGAATTGATATACCAAGCTCAAGGTATTATTCGATAATACCCGAGGCAAATCGATCTACCGAAATTCGAGCTGCGCAATTTCCACGCTTATCTAGCCCACAATCGGCGAAGATAAGTTTCGAAGTGCTCTTCAAAAAAATTCACCGACCGATAAACGAAAGGCTTCCACAGCTTCCGTGGATATCGCCCGATACTGTTCGCACGAGAGGGCCGCTCTTAAAACTGTACACGTCACTATGCGATGCCGTTACATCTAATCTTACATCACACACGCCGTAGCGGAGCAGTGTCTGGCAATTAAACGAAGCTTTGACCTCGGCCGGAATTAGATTCGTTTAAACCTGTCGTTTCAAAACACAGAAATACTTGACCGTTTGAGGGATCGCTGTTCGCTTTCGAGCGCGGTACCAATTTCCGAGTCGGCGCGCGCTTTTTGTCTCTACAGGGTGTCCGAAAAATATCTCGCAATTAGGAAATGGCGGGTTCCTCGGATCATTTGAAACAACTTCTTCCTTTACAGAAATTTTCTCCGAGGCACCGTTAACGAGTTATCAACGAAAGAACAGTGATCAATAAGAATCGAGTACGGTTGACGCGCGGCGGCCAGGCCGACCAGCGCGCGAAGCCCGGTTCCGCTCATTGGCTCGATCGCCTCGCGTCAGCCGAGCTCGCCTCTCATTGGTCACCGTTTTTCGTTAATAACTCGTCAACGGTGCCTCGGAGAAAATTTTCGCAAAGGAAAAAGTTGCTTCGAATGACCCGAGGAACCCGCCACTTTCGGACTGCGAGACATTTTTGGGACACCCTGTACATCTCTTCGAACTCCTGCGATTCTCGCGCGCGCCGAGGAAATTATCGAACCGGATCGATATTTCCGATTCAAGTGTACGATATCGGGTTGGCGAGAAAGTAATGTTTCCAATCTACGGGAAAAGCGAAATACATTTAGCCCGAACGTGCCCCGTTCGTCGTCGTACAATTTGCGAAACGTATTTATTAATGCGTCGCGCGTACCGAGAGCCTATCGATATCGGTTCGAGGTAAGACGCAAGGTAAGGAAAACGCTTCGAAAGGCCACCATATTGAACCGTTCGAAGTAGAAAGCGGTCGGTGCATGGGGGACGACCAGGTCGAACCGTTGCCGCCCGTCCGTTCCCTGCAGGGGCCTTGAAAGGAATGCGCGGATAAAAAGAAATCGGCGAGCGAGCACTTTTACACGCTTCTAAATAAACACATACGGCGAACGCGGCCTTGTGTGCGTTCGTTCGTTCGATCCGCTCCTCTATCGCTTAACTCGCGATATTTATCTCCCGTTTCGGCTCGTTTACAAGCATTGTGTTTTATTATCGGCCGTGCCGTTCTGTTCTACAGCTGGTTTGCGCGCGAATACACCGATCGTTTTTTCAACTTTTCGATATTTTCAAAAATGCCGGGAATTAAACGTGAACGGTTCAGTTAACAGGTTACCGAATTTTCATTGTACTGCTTTATCGACCGTGCAAAAATCAACGGTTCGCCATCGACTTTATAAAAAAAAAAGAAAAAAAATGCTTTCGGGGATATCACGTCGTGAATAAAGGATCCATGTATGTATATACATATATATATATATATAAACGTAATCCAAAGCTAGTTCTTTAGCTCGACGAATTTCCTCGTTCAAGATACAAATCGCTGTTTTTATTGGTGCAGATATGGTTAGAGGTTACATTTATTGCGAGAGCGTGGTCGTTCCACTTCCCAAGGACAATCCAATAATATAGCAGCGACGCGGAGTCGCTGCAAGAATTACACGGAATAATATGTATCGCTGTTAAAATGCGCTCGGGAACAACAGGTACATTCGACGACGAAATGTCACAACGCGGAGGGAAAGTGAAAGAGAGTAAGAGAGGGAGAGAGAGAGAGAGAATGCATAGATATTCTCGTAACGACACCGCGCAAATCGTCAAATAGAGGAACTCACTTTCGAACTATGGAAAACCGTATCGTACACGCGTCGTTACACTTTCCACATTCCTTGGCGCGATGCGGTCGGAAAAACAAAGTGCCAGAGAGAACTGTTCACCATCGGCGGATTAACTGTTCACAGAGTTCACACAGAGAGAGAGAAAGAGAGAGAGAGATAGAGCACACACAACAAGGCGGAGAAGAACGATCTCGTCGTCGCCAGCACTCGAGAGAAATTTCAATGGATGTGCGTCGCCGCGAGCCAGTCCGTGTGAGACGCGCTCGGTGTCTCGAACTGATCTGTGCGTCACGCGTAATCGCGGCGCAC